AGCAGCATCTTTCAAAGGATTTAATCCTCTGCTTTGACTCTTACCACCATTCATTCACTGTTAAAATATTATATAAGGTTAAACTTCACAGTTTATAATATCAATACAATACCACATATGCAAAGCAGTATTAATATATGTGACGTAGTGTAAAATTCTCTAAAGAAGACCAAAACAGAACAAAATAGTAATATAGTTATCAAATTTCATAATACAGTTATCACATTTCAAACCATTTAACAAAATATAAGTTAGTAGTGCACTATTTTGACAATTTGATCAAATAAACCTCTTTTCATAATAAAAGTTCATTTATTCAAATGTACAGTTTAACTGAACACAAGTTTATCACAAAAAAACATTAGAAAAAATAAAACCACACATTTACATTACTAAATTCAAACATTTTGTTCAATCATGCTTAATAATTCAAGTTTAGTAAATTGTTTCTACGTCATATTTATGTTTAATATACCTTGTTACCATGTTATTTATACCATATTCGAATGGTCATTGCTTCTCACATAAAAGTATGTGTAGAAAAAAAATCACAAATTACATAGTGCATCTATTATAACGTTACATCCAATGACTGTAAAAAATATGGACGACGCGACAGCCCTTTTTCCCATTGAACGCCTTGAGGGCAAAACGCCTGCTTGACGGGCACAAACTGTCGCAAAAGACTGCTGAAATTGGAGCCAGACATGCGCAGAAGGATTGTCTGATGGAGCCAGAGGAGGAGCCGCGAAAATGAGCAGAGTCGAGCTTCCAATCAAACGCTTTATGTAAAATCAACTACGCCCCCCAAACTTCTCAGCATGCGTTTGCTGTCATATCAACACAAATGGATGTAATAACGTTAACAAATATGAGGGTTTTATATATTCAATCGCGCCAGCTCCAGGCCGCAGCGCATAACTTACTCGCGGCGTCGCGGGGTGATTCCGGCTCGCATGCGGCAGCGCCTGCTCGCTCGGCCGCCGCATCAGGCTCGATTGACTCGGACTGGAATCGGGCAGTGAGTCCAGGCATCCGGAGTAGGTCCAGCAGAGGTAACATTAGTCAGTCTGAGCTCTAAGAGATAAGTCTCCGGCAGGCGAGAATCTAGCCGGAACTGTGTTTTGCTATCTGGGTGGCTAGGCGTGTATCAGCAAACTAATAAAGCCCGAAAAAAGCCCTGAACTTAGCGAATAAACAGTGTTCCACCAGGATCATGTATGTCAGAAACTATAGTTTACTGCTGAACTCATTTTGTCATGGTAAAATAACACAGAAATCGAATAATAACATTTCATTCTACTTCAGTCTCCTGCTGAAGCTCAGACGCCGCGCTTTGAGAAACTGTCAATCACAGCTGTGTATCACGATGACACGCCCAGCATTAAATTACTGCTAAAAACAAACTGTTTACAAAAATGAAGATCTGCACCTATTTCAGCACAATAACCAGTGCCTTAATCGACCAGAACTATCTTTCGGGACATTTTATTGCAAGTGTAATATTTTTTTTTATTTGGGCTCAAGTCTCCTTCATTAACACGGAGGAGGCGGGCTTTATGACTTGTACTGCAGCCAGCCCCCAGGGGGCGATCTAACGGCCGAAACCTTCACTCAAACGTAGGCTTGCGGCACACTTGGTTACATCTCATGGAATCAGACGGCGAATTGTTTACCGCGGAGGAGTGAGCTCTGCCCGGTTCTGGGTTAAATCGACACCGGCGCTTCCGAGCCAGATACAGGCCGAGCGCGTGCTATTATTAGCAAATACACATTTTGAAGAACTAACTTACGTCTGATACTGCCATTACAAACACATATTTCTAACGTTTATTTGTTCTCATCTTCTGTTCCCAGTCACTAATTATTATTGTCTAAAACAGTACGCGCCGCATATAAATATATAAATAAACTTGCTATTTTGAATAACAAGTGGAATAATACAGTACATATAATAATAAATAATGTACAAAGTATTAAAAACAAATGACTTACTTGTTTGATGTGAGTTTCACTGCTTGAAGCGCGACTGTCACGTCCACAGTCTTCATGAGGGACGTTTTCCCGCGATTGAATGTATGGCGCGAAATTGTGTAAGATTTGGCGCGAGTGTGTATAGAAGTGCAGTACCAAGTTCCGCCTACAGAGGCGCTGTTCAAAGATCACACATACACATCATGGTTTACAAGACCATATTTGTAAAGGTCATAAAAAGCACACCAAGTGTAATAATAACCAAATAACAATGTGAACTTTTGAAACAAGTCTTATAATTATCATTTAGGTCATTGTAATGAATAATCATCATTTAAACCATTTTTAATATCAACTTAAATTTTTAGTTTATAAGACCACCAAAAATGGTCTCATAAACTAAATGGTCTCATAATGCTGGTGGGTAAACCTGAAAATTGGTTCCATAAACCACATATGCCAACACACACACACACACACACACACACACACACACACACACACACACACACACACACACACACACACACACACACACACACACACACACACACAGAATATATTAATGTGATAAAATGCTGTTTCAACATACTTTGCCTGCCAGTGACAGCTCTTGTACCTTTATTTCTGAGTGTAGGTGCGTGTATATGTGTATACATTGAGACAGTATTTCCTATAAAATACATTTTTTCTTCTGAAGAAAGTCTTATTTTAGCTTGGCTAGAACAAAAACAGTTTTTAAATTAGTTACTATTAAATTTCACCGGTTGATTGTTTTGTAAAAGGTAATTAATAAGTATTGTGCCTGGGCCTGGAAATTTAAGTTTGTTTGGTTTATGATGAGTTTAACTAAAATGTGTTGAAGTTAAAGCTTGTTTTCTTGTTATTGTTTTCTCCTTTATTAATATAATGATTTGTTTGTTTGATTGAATATTTGATTTTTGGTTTACCTGATTAAACCATGCATTGGTTGAAGCTTAATTTATTATTCAATTGAATTATTTGAGAAACTGTAGGTTTTTTTTTTAACCCCTGGCGCTCAACCCACTTTATTCGCCAAATACCGCCTACACAGTCAATTTATTAGAGCAAGGACATTGACACAGTATTTCCTATAAAATACATTTTTTCTTCTGAAGAAAGTCTTATTTTATCTTGGCTAGAACAAAAACAGTTTTTAAATTAGTTAATGTAATTTTTAAGATCAATATTATTAACAATTTTTCTTAATTGACTACAGAACAAACCACTGTGACAAACCATAATGACTTGCCTAATTATCCTCATTTACCTAGTTAAGCCTCAAATTGTTCTTTAAGGTGAATAGTAGTATCTTTCAAAACAACAGGTAAAATATTATGGACTTTTATAATGGCAAAGACAAAAGTAATTGGTTATTAAAACTATTGTTTACAAACATGTAAACAAATTCTTTTCCATTAAACAGCGCTTGAGAGATATTTATAAAGAATTTAAAATTTAGAAACATATTAAAAAACCACAGGAAGACTAATAACTTTACCTTCAACTGTACACTCTCAGAATTAAAGGTATGTGAGCTGTCACTGGGGTGGTACCTTTTCAAAAGGTACAAATTTGTACCTAAAAGGACCATATTAATAACTCAAGTACCTAAGAAGTACAAAAGTGTTCCTCTTAAAATTGTTAGGTACTAATATGTACTTTTGAGGTACCAATATGGACCCTTTTAGTACAAATGTGTCTCTTTGAAAAAGGTACGACCCCAGTGACAGCTCGCGTAGCTTTATTTCTAAGAGTGTATATTAAAAATTTGCATTAAAATTATTTTTAACAATCATTAAAATAATTTATTCTTCAGGTAAACTAGCACAACTTGTGTTTTGCATCTTAAAATTTGTGAATAGAAAAGTATTAATTTAATATATCTTTTAATCTTTTATAATGTTGGTATCTTCAATTGTAAAGCTCTACAGTACAAGGTTATAACTGCAATATATATATTTAATATTATACATATTTAATGCAAATTTCATCAGGCAAAAAAAAACAAGAAGTGCTTTTTCCTGTTTAAACCCAGAGATACAGGGATTTTAATAAGGCTCTATGAGCAAATTATTAAATTGTACCTATGTTCAGCAGTCAAAAACCAAATAGTTCACTCTGATACTTTCGTATATGTCTAAGGAACAAATTTGAAACTAGGGAGGCCTCTTGTTTTCTTCTGTTTCTTTCAAAGGCAAAGAATGTGCAAAAAAATATCATTCTTTTCTCCAAAGTTTGCAATTGTGTAACTCTATAAGCAGACATCTTAGGCTCCTTTCAGATTGTCATTCTTGTTCGATATTACCCAATTTAAATGAATTAATGACTCAATACATTAATGGGATATGTGGAGCTCTGCATCGATGGATTTGCTCTTCAGTGTTTGGACTTTCAGCAGTGAAAATTAAACCACACTGAACTGAAAAAAACTGAACTTCAACTCTAAAAACTGGACTGACATATTTTCAATTTCAATTTACTAGAACTTCTATGTTAAGCTGCTTTGACACAATCTACATTGTAAATGCAGAATAGAAATAAATATGAATTGAATTAATATGTTGCATACACTTGATATAGAAAAGGTTAGCAGCAAATCATATATAGCAAATATTAGAATGATTTCTGAAGAATCATGTGACTGGAGTAATAATAATAATAAACAATGACCTTTGGAATCACGGGGAAAAATAAATGTTAAATTATATTCAAACAGAAATATTTTTAAATAGGAAATAATTTAGATTTTTACTATTTTGCTGTAATTTCAAATCAATGCAGTCTGAACAGAACAGAGACATCACTAGACATTACAACATTATGACTTATAGTGAATACATTTGATTAAATATTAATGCATGCTTCAAATGAGTGCTAGGCAACAGTAATCAAATAAGTACAAACATCAGTCAACATTCAGTAATGACAAAGTAAAATCCTGTATGGTAACCAATATGGTAGCAACATTTATATAAACATATTGTGCATGAACTTTAGCATACCTACGTCATACAACTCATCCCACGCCTGGACAAAGCGCTTCCAGAAGGGGAAGATGTGACGAGTCCAGCGAGGGAAGAAAAGAACCGTCTCAGAAAGAGCCAGCATTTCATTAACAGCAGAAATAAACCGCAGGGTGTCTGTTGGAATCTCCTCCTGCAAGCAACCTAACCGCGTTTCGAACAGAATAGAGGAGATTCCTGAAGAGCGAAAGAAGAAAACAAAACACAGTCAGCAGAAAACTACAAGTATATACAGGACTATGTTGCTGATTATGTAAGACGACACACAAGAAAAACAGTTTTTTTATTATTGTGAAAAATTTTATTGTTAAAAATTGTGAAAATACATGTTTGTTCTTTGCATTGTGTTGTTCAAAGCCTTATCAAGATTCTGGAGTGATAAAAGAGATCCCAAAAACCCTCTAATATGTCGAATAAATGGTTTCTTCCGATGTTAAGAGTTTTATTTTTGCAAAAATGTATGCAAATAAACACATCTAATTAAACATGACCTCGTTTCTATATTTAAATATACCATTTTAGAAAACTTGTTTTACAAATTTTGGCAATTCCTAATGTTACTAATAAATCGGGAAAGTATAATGATAATTATTCATTATTGATTTTTCTCTGCTCACCTTGAGTGTCTTACACTAGAAGGGCACTAGAATACTATAAGTCTTTCAAATGCATACACACCCTCAAAGCCAAACTTGTAGAGCTCCGAGGCGAGGTCGCTGACGGTGATCTGGTCAGGACTGCGCAGGCGCAAAAGCTCCAATCGCTGCAGGAGATCAGACACAACCTCATGAATGATGGGTGCATATGCTGTGACTTCCTTCAGTTTCAGCATCTTTGGGTTCAGAGCACTGCGAATGCGGTACCACTCAGGGCCTGTGCTGAAAAACAACAACGACAACAAACAAGCATTCAAACTACCATTTTAAGAGCTATAGTTAGTTCACCCAAAAAAATCAATTATGCTATTAATTATTTGCCATCTTGTTGATCCAAATCCTTAATGCCTTTATTCATCATCAGAATACAAATTAAGATATTTTTCAACACAGGCTTATTTGGATTACGTACCCTTACTGGCGTTACTGGAGAGCGCCAAATATGTCCCAGGAGCTATGATTTTTTTGCGAATCCACCAGAGGCAGCTGTGTAAACTTTGTCAGATCTCAAGTTTCTTTCATGAGTGCAATTCGCGCTGCTGTTCTCACCTAAATCCACCAGAGGCAGCTGTTGACTGACAGACTGACTGACCCATCCTCCTCCTTCCCTAAACCCAACCGATAGTGTTTTCAAAACCAGCGCCCACCGCCTTTCCTAAACGGACAGTGTTTTGAAAAGCAATCCGGAAAAAGAAAGGCTCTCGTATCCTGATTTTTACCACGTTTTCAAATTTTACCATATTCTCACCCTGTTATTTACTTGTTTGTTTTATTTTTTGGCCACTGTTTTTGTATTACCCGCTTTCTGAAACCATTCAATGCCGGACTCGAACCCTATTGTCACAGTCAACTCTGCACGGTTCAAATCCTCCGACATATGCAACGAGCCATAGCACAAACTGGTAACAGCGGAAAAGCCGTCCACAGCTGGTAAGCCCGAAAAGGAATGGCGTCATACCACCCGTAGCATTCATTGTAAAGACAAAATGCAGCCATACGTGCCTCTGGCTACATAATACACAATCTCCAGAAATGTACAGTATATAGGGCTACGTTTTCAGAATGAGTCTATGTTGATATTTTCAGTAAAATCAGAAAGCTCCATTATCCTCCATAGATAGCAAGGTTCCAAAAACAAAAATACCAAAAAACATCCTCAAAACAAACCATCCACCATTAGTGGTTCACTCAGAATATTTTCAAGTTACTTTTGTGCCCTAATAAAATAAAAATAACAACTTTATTCAACAGTACTTTATGAAAAAAAAATGATAAATTATTGCATAAACTCTCTTTTTGTGTTTATAAAAAAATGGTAATAATCATACAGATTTGGCACAGACAGCATAACTAAATAACTAAAAATGGAAGGAAGGTGCTTACTCCACATGGATTCCATACGCTTGTCCTCTCATGTCTCTGTACTCTCTCCAGTGAGGCAGATCGGTCCGCACTGGGTACCGGCCCTCTTGACGGATCACCTGTGCAATCAGATCAGCCCCAGCCACATTTATCACATCAAATGGGCCGAAGCGTGAGCGCCAGATTGGACCATACAGACGCTTATGCTCCACCTAATTGATAAATAAAGCATTATCAGTTATTTATTATACATATTTACTCAATTCAAGTTTATTTGTGAAGTGCTCTCCTCATTAATTATCATTCCAAAGCAGTCAATTAACATGTTTGTGAAAAGTGAAAGTGTTTGGGTGTTGTGTATAGGGTGGACAGTATATATACAGATGTCAAAAATTTTAGTCTGTGGATTCTTTTAAATATTACCCAAATGAGGTTTAACAGAGCTAGGAAATTTTCACAGTATGTCTGATAATATTTTTTTTTATCTGGAGGCAGTCTTAGTTGTTTTATTTTGGCTAGAATAAATGCAGTTTTAAATTTTTAAAAAACATTTTAAGGTCATTGATTTTATATATTTTATTTGTATTGTTATTCAGTAACTTGCCCACTTACCTTAATTTGCCTAGTTAACCTTATTAACCTAGTAAAGCCTTTAAATATCACTTTAAGCTGAATACTAATGTCTTGACGAATATCTAGTCAAATATTATGTGCTCTCATCATGACAAAGATAAAATAAATCAGTTATTAGAAATGAGTTATTAAAACTATTATCTTTTATGAAAAAAACATCTTCTTTGCGTTAAACAAAAATTGGGGATAAAAATATACAGGGGGGCTAATAATTCTGCCTTCAACTGTGCATATTTAACCTGCAGTTATATACATAATCCAGGGACCGAAACTAGCAGTGCAGGGTCTTCAGATACAAACTATAGAGTGCCTCAGACAAAAAGCTGAATAAACCTTGGTTTAATGTGTAGCATCAATTGTAAGTAAGCCCTTTTTGAGTTGATTTCACAGAAAGACACTATACACTGTGGTTCTTGAGTCCCCTTCTTTTGCACCAATGGCCAAACCAGTGGTATGTAGATAGACGTCATTATTATCAATCAACAGCAAACTAGGCATGGGTCAATAATCGTTTTCAAGGTTTACAGTACCTCGGTTTGGAAAATCAAGGTTTTAAAACCACAAATTTTTTTGTTATACCGTTCCTTCGGCATGTGTAAATGTTTTTTTTTTTTTTTTTTTACTTTTTTAAATTATTGTTTTATTCAGCCATATGGTGGAAATGTTTGTTTCCTGCTTTAATGTCATCTAGAAATAAAAATCTGTTTTATTTAAATCTATCTATCCTCACTTTATTCTGAGCCCATAAGACTTGTGGACAATAATAAAAACACTAATCAGACAAAGATAAAACATTTTCTATCCTTCCACCATGTGGGCAGGTAACTGAAGATATGATTAAGATTCATGACAAATTAGTTCCTGCTTGTATTTATAAAAACATAGAGTGCATTAAATATGATAGATCTTCTTTGGTTGTCATTTATGTACATGCACACACATTCATATAAGTCTGCCAGTTGTTTCTGAGATGTAAAACAAAATTACTCAATTACATCTGTTTATCAAGACTGCGGTTTGATTTATGATGCTTTTATGACCTTTGTGAACTGCCTGAACTTTCAACGGCAGGGCAGAAAGCTCTTTGGTTTCACTAAAAATATCTTAATTCATGTTTCAAACATTCAACTTAATAGTTCAGAACAACATGAGGGTGAGAATACATGTATGATAACAGAAATGTCCTTTTAAATAATCTTGTTAAAGCTCATATATTTACATTTTAGTAATGATAATAAAAATCTGGACGCTTAACTTTTTTACACAAGTATAAATAAAGACGAAAGCAAAACCTCCAGTAGGTGGTGGCAAGTCTGAATCGTAAGTTAATCGTTTGATTACTTAATTCAGATGGTTGATTAATCTGAAAATAGGTGATTGTGTCACTCAAGTAGGTACTCGTATTAATTGAAAATGTGGTGTAATGTATATTTATGTTATACGTTTATCATGTATGGCCATACACCCAAAGCACAATCACAACACCACCAGTGTGCAGCATCCACTTGGATGATGTGACGGCAGCCACAGGACAATGGCGCCAGTGCGCTCACCACACACCAGCTATAGGTGGAGTGGAGAGACAGTGATAGAGCCAATTAGGAAGATGGGGAGGCCAAGATGGGTAAGTGCTGATGAAGGGACACTGGGGTTACACTCCTACTCTTTATGAGAAGTGCCATGGGATTTTGAATGACTACAAAGACTCTCATATGAAAGATGGCACTCACTGACAGGGTAGTATCTCCTTCGCTTTACTGGGGCATTAGGACTCATTCAGACCACAGGTTGAGTGCCCTATGCTGGCTTCACTAACACCACTTCCAACAGCTACCTAGTTTTCCCATGTGCTCTCCCATCCAGGTACTGACCAGGCTCAGCCCTGCTTAGCTTCAGTGAGTAGCAGGTCTAGGGCTGCAGGGTGATATAGCTGTGGTAATTACCTAAAAACTACTAACAAAGTACATTCCATATGCAGTATAAATGTAATCTGGAAGCGCTATATTTACAATATTGCCATTCTTCCACGTTTTGCCTATTTATTTTCCCCATTTATTTTATAACACTGCAGTGTTGATCAGGAATATGCAAATGTTCTGTTTCATCTTTGCTTGGAATTACTTTTGCCTGAAGGACAATAGAAGATTGGATAAACGTTGCCTGGTCAGATAAGTCTCGATATGTGTTGTGATATTTGGAGGATAGAGTCATCCAATAGATAGAATTTGGCATCAACAGCATGAAAGTATGGATCCATCCTGCCTTGCATCAACGGTTCAGGTTGGTGGTGGTGGTGTAATGGTGTGGGGGATATTTACTTGGTACACTTTGGGGCCATTTGTACCAATTGAGCATTGTTTCAACACCACAGCCTACCTGAGTATTGTTGCTGACCATGTCCATCCCTTTATGACCACAGTGTACCCATCATCTGATGGCTACTTCCAGCAGGATAACGCTCCATGTCAGAGGCGTGATCATCTTAGACCGGTTTCTTAAACATGACAATGAGTTCACTGTACTCAAATGGCCTCCACAGTCACCAGATCTAAATCCAAAAGAGCACCTCTGGGATGTGGTGGAACGGGAGATTCGCATCATGGATGTGCAGCCGACAAATCTGCAGCAACTGCATGATGCTATCATGGCAATATGGACCAAAATCTCTGAGGAATATTTCCAGTACCTTGTTGAATCTATGCCACAAAGGATTAAGACAGTTCTGAAGGGAAAAGGGGGTCTAAATCGGTACTAGTAAGGTGTACCTCATAAAGTGGCCGGTAAGTGTATATTAACTATCATATATCAAATATATCTTGGAAATAACAAAAATGTTTGTTTCTCATTCTACCTTTAATGCTTCAAGAAGGAATGTTTTGATCTTTCAAGACATGGTTTTGTTTGCTTGGCGATCAATATCGCACGTCCCCTCTTGCCAAAAATACTTTCCAAAACATGTTTGTCTAACACTCCCCCCAGCTTCCTTTAGTTGGACCACAAAGTCAGTGCAAAAAAATGTAATGTTGAGACCCTCAAACAAACAGTGACTAGTCTCCATTAGTCAGCAAGTTTTCTGATTGGCCAAATCCTGTGGGCAGCACTCAGACTCTTTACACGGAAAGATTGACATAGAGATAAGTGTAATTTCTCTGAAACCCAATGTTAGTGATTTGAATCTGGTATTTTGTTCATGATGATATTCCATATCTTAATATAGTCCATAGTGATCTACAGAAACTTGAGATCAGCGCAGAGTTTTCAACGAAGCACTGGACATAACACCACCCCCAGCTACAGTAATGTTCTCAGATATCTGACCTACAAAACTACTTCTTTATGGCAAGCCGTTTCAACTTTTACTTCTTTAAACTAACTTTTATTGTAATACCAAATACCTAGCAGATAATACTAGAGATTATTTTTTACTGCAGTCATTATTTCAGCAGTTGACTAATTAGTTCAATTTTACTATTAGTCTCTAAAAATATAATCTATTGGTAATAATTATTTAAATCTTGCAACTGATTAATCAGAACCAAGCATTTCTGTAAAACCTAAATAATTGGAGCACTTGTAGAAAACTACTACCACAAGTCATAAATGCTGGTGTCTTACACTGCGAAAATTTAATTTGCTGCTTGTTCAAACTACTTATTTAATATGAGTTGAACTAGCACAATTATTAAGTTTTTTTGTGGGACAACCTAAATGTTTTAAGTTCAATCCACTTAAATTTATAAAAAAATAAGTTAACCGATTTGTGATTGGACAACATGGAAGAATTGTGTGGAACCCAGCATTCTTACAGTGTATGAACAGGTTATTAATATTTAGTACAACCTTAATAAGTACTGTAATCAACTAAGGAATAAATTATAGTACTTAAAAAAAAAAAAAGCTAAACTAGACAATCTACCAGCAACAACAGGAAGCTATGCGTGTCATAGCTAAAACAACATTAAAGCACATTAAATGATTAATTCAGTGGAATAATTACTATTGATATTCAGTGATGGGGGTAACGCATTTCAAGTAACGCAATTTGCAGGTACCTATACTATAGGATGCTCTCTCTCATTGGCTGTAGGTAATCAGCAATGTTATTTTCAATCAGAACATATTTCACATTGCATGATTTTGAATCGCCGACAGCTCCAGATATTTAGCATGCCAAATATCTCACGGGTGTCAGCGACTCATCTGCGATTCTCTCAGATCACGAGTTTGATACACTCTAAAAATATTTAGACAAAACAAAAAAAAGTTACGCAACAGTTTCAATTAATATATTCAAGTTACGATAACATCTAACAAAATGAGGTTCAGACAACAAACTTTATAATGTTAGCCAAATCTTTTCCTCCTCAATCAGAGGCATTTTCACATAGCAAAAAACTCTCGACTTTTTTAGTTGAGTACTCAAAATAAGTTTTTTTTTATTAAAATTGAAAACAAATCCAGTTTTATGTACTTAATTACATGCATGTTTTCAAGATTAGAACCACAAATAAATAAAGTAGCTGAAATTGTTTCATTTTTTGTTTGTTTTTCGAATTTACTGTTCATGCTTGTAAGAAATACATTTAACAACAACATTTTTGTTTTCCGGTCATGTTTTATTTGTATTAAACCACAGGTTTCCTTTTTTTTTTTTTACAAAACAAAAACATGTTCCGTCCCATATTATCAGCATAAAAAATAACAAAAAACATCAGTTTGTGCACTTAAAAATACAAAACAACTCCATTAGTGTGTAAAAATTGAGTTATCAACCAAATTTTGTCCAATTTTTACCTGTTTTGAAAACTTAGTTATTCTGGCTACTTAAAAGTTTTAATCTAATCAGCATTTTAGAATTTTTAAGTTCCAATAGTGTATTAAACTATGTAGTGGTAACAGATCTCTTGATATTTACGTGAACGAGCACATTAGCCTGTGATTTCAGGCATTTGCTGCTGATTTCTTAAAACCTGTCAGCAAGTCAAAATTGGGGCTAAAGTCATAAAGTCTGAACTCGACATTATGGATAAATCTTGCACATTATGGATAAATCTTGCACCATCTTTTTTTCCCCCTGAAAGCTCTAAAAGTGTTGTTGGCTTTGGGCTGGAAACCTATCCATGAAAAACTGACTGTTTTGATGAAAATTTGTGCTGTCAAACAAATGCGTTCAAAATAAAAATAAAAGTGTATATGCAAATAATTTTTTTTAATGATAACTTAAAACTTTAAAAGCATTTTACGAGCACATTTACTTTCTACATCACAGATGTCAGAGTTTATACTAGGACATTAGCTTTTTTAACATCAAATTGCAAAATTAAAATAACCTTAAAAATTAAAATGTTTTGTCCTATTTGCATTATTATGCTGTTGTATAATCATTATATAATAAGTGTCATTAAAATGTCTTGAAATCACAATAATATCTCTCATCGCAATAAGTTCTGTGCAGTGTTGGAGATAACGTACTGCAAGTAACACGAGTTACGGAATAATATTACTTTTTAAAATAACGAGTAGAGTAAATCATTACTTTTAAAAGTTATTTTTTTATTTAATTAATTTGCTGTTAAAAAATAAATCGCTGAATTTAAATTAGTCACAATGAATCACGCAGTCAATGAGAGAATGTGTTCATTATTTTGAACGCATCAAAGAAAAGGAAAAGGGGATTATAGTCTCATGGACAGTGATTTTACTGAAGACAAACAAAAGTAGCAAACACATTGCTTTAAACTTTCAATGATCTGTATATGGCATGTATAGCTCTGGGGTCAGGAAGTTTTCAGATAACATTATCTTAAAATATTATTTTTTGATGTGTTTTTTTAAAGGTAAAAATACAAACATATGACCTATATTAGCTATCATATATTACCTATATCACGGAAATAACAAAAATACAGTGTTTTTGTTTTGTTTTGTTTGTACCCACTCTTAATGCTTCAGGAAGGAATGCTTTTGATATTTCAAGACATGTTTTAGTTTGCTTGGCGATGAATATCGCACAGCCCTGTTCTGTTCCTGAAAATACTTTCCCACTTAAAACTAAAGTAGTCACAATGAATAATGTAACTAATGAGAGAACGTTCATTATTTTGAACGAATCGAAGAAAAGGAAAAGGGGATTATAGTCAATGCACAGTGATTTTAATTAAGACAAAATAAAAGTAGCAAACACATTACTTTAAACTTTCAATAAACTGTATATGGCATGTTGAGGTCAGCAAGTTCTCAGATAACATTATCCCAAACAATTATTTTACAGTGTGTGTTTTTTTAAGGTAAATGTAGATGTAGGTTATATAATTGCAGAGCTCCTCTATAACAAAAAGAAAGAAAAAAACAAGTTCTGAAAGAGATCAAGCCTCAGCCAGGTAAGAAAAATTAACGCAAAGGTAACTTAAAAGTAACGTAAATCATTACTTACCATTAAAAGTAACTAAGTAATGCTACTTATTTTGAGGGAGTAACTCAATATTGTAATGGATTACTTTCAAAAGTAACATTCCCCAACACTGTTCATGTTATTAAAAAAAAGAGTCAGTGATGAGTTTCTAAAAAACATTATTATTTTTAATGTAAAGCTTTCCAAGGTTATTCATGGAGCCGCTGACAGCAGTATGTCAATGTTCTTCTTTTAAAGATACTAATTGCTATTCGATTAGCCTTCTTTATTGTCAAACAACAACTACCTTGCTGTATTTTTTTGCTAGTTTAAAGAAATACATGTTAAAACGGCTTTCCACAATGTCCTCTCATACAGCAATCAGCTGTTCCCATCAGACAGAATTTCCTGAGTCTTTTAAATCAACTTGGCATAGGCAATATAACAGAAATGCTTTAAGGATAGTGTTGACAGGACTGTTATTATTGTGGACTTTTTAACATAATACAAATAAATATGCAAATGTCATATCACAACAGAATTGACAGCAGATTACAAACATTGTAAAACAAAGGTAAGCTGTGTAATAAGCTCACAAACTACTTGCTAAATCAAAACAAATACATTGAAGTTCTGCAAAAAGTGAAATAAAGAGGGTAAATGTGTTTTACCTGCATTGCATGACTTTTATCCGCGTATCCTTTAACAAAGAGCCAGTATACAGTTGTTGCCAGATTGGGTCCCGGTAGATCATCTTTTGTTTTGTATCTCCCAGTTATTGTATTTGCGCTCTGCAAGTCGACATCGCCTGTTTGAGACTTCAGGGTTCGAGCAATCATTTCTTGAAACGGCGCATATTTTCTACCAATCTGAGCTGCGAGACGATCAGCTTTAACCAGAGCAGAAATCAGCATGTTGACGACTGGTGTGTGTCGCAGAGGATCTGAACTGGACTGTCTCGCACTTGCAGAGAGATGCCTCCTATCAAACTCTGGGCGGGTTTTTCGGCTGTGTGTCAAAACTATGAGCATATCTCGACGACATTGTGCAACGCAGACACATTTCATATCCTAACATGTTTATTAGTAGTTCACACGGTTTTAAGAGGCCCCGGTAGGGTCTGAAAGAATGTAACGTTAGCTGTCAGTAATCTAAAGTCGTCAAGCTAGTGAGGCAGGCTAAAGCAAAGAAAATTCGCGGATGTTTATATGCCCCCTTCTGACCCCCTAAATGTGGAATGCGGAATGATGGATCATTGTATAAACTGCATTACGTTTATACTAGACTAAACAACAAATGATTGGTGCGTTTTACCGCACAATCATTCTGTATGCATGACACAATCAACTGCACGCACAGGGAAACAAGTACCGTTGCTGCGTCCCAATTCGCCTACTTCACTACTCGCCCAATTTGCCTAAAAGTGTGTAGTGTTTCGTGAAGAAAACGAGCATATTTTACGTTTGAGTGTGTTTAAGAGTACGCAAGCGGGGACATAAGTTACTACTGCGTCGTTTTACCACGAAGCTTATGTAGCTTAGTCCTGTCAATCTTCTTGTGACATCAACTACATTTATTTCATATTTAACTTGGTACCATGAGGAGACACAGCAGCAGGTTAATCTGTCATTCGCGGGTTTTTATGCTGCAAAATCTCCTCAGGTGTTTGTATGGATTAATAAATCACTGACCAAACACATCTTTAGAAGTTAACATTGCTATTGCAGATTATATATAACAAAAATACGTGAAATAAATAGTTTATATTAGGTTATATAACATTTAACGATCGTTGAAATATTTTTTTAACAAAGCCTCCCTACTCCGTCGTAGGTTTGGTTTCGCGCGTCCACCATTTTTGTAGTTTGTTTTTTATTCACGATTGTAGTTCTAATGTAAAAACGGTTTAGTTGAAACAATTAAAACAGTTTTTTTTACACAAAACATTTCTTATTCTGTTGAAATATGACCCTACTGTTTCAACGTTTCATGTTAGCCTAATAACAATTCAACGGAGAGTAATTTAATAACATTAACATTAATTAAAATAATGATTGTATCATATTTTAGATTAAAAAATATTTATCCTTTGTTCATTTTGAAACATTTTTTAACAATTCTGAACAATAGCAGGCTTTACAACTGTAGACAAAATTATCCCCAAACGCAGCTTCATAAAAGTTAACGTTGCAGATGAAATATAACGCAGAAAACAGGGAATTATAAGTTTCCATTATTTTATACTATAATCAAAGATGCCCTATAAATTACTGCATTGGTTAAATAAGTTAAATTGTTCTCTGATATCTTTGATTTGCCATATTTTAAAGCTATGGTCAAAGAAAACAGCGCCAGGAATTATTATCAATGCTGCATGAATAAGATGAGTTGAGTGATTTGACACGATTTAGCAGACTACACGTGTTTGTTGAAACACATGCATCAAATTTCACAATAAACACTATACATTAACAAAAGAAGTAACTAAACATACCTTATGCCTTTCCAGAGTTTAGATGAATAAATGTATAATCAGTAAATCTTGGATTTGGTGTCCTGAGGCCAGTTTAAACGTGCCTCGTGCTGTCTTTGCCTAGCAACAAACAGTAAACAAATTCGCGCTCGCGTTTTCAAAATAAAAGTTCCACATACACAGTGAAATAAACGCTTAAAAATAAGGGAGAAAAAGTCTCATTGTTGTCTCACTGACTAAAAAACGTTGCTTATCAGTGCTGCATGAAGCGTGCATATTAATGATCTCAGAGCTTAATGACATGGCTGCTCGCCAGGTCCGGATGAATGACCTAAAGTAGGCATACATGGAAGAGCAGAGTCTCATTACAGTATGTTTTGTCTTCTGTTTGGCATGTTGTCCATTTTGGTTTTACACTTGTGGAATTACATGAAAACAAGGATGTCTGAGGCTCACAGTAAACCCATTTCCATAAACTGATCCTTTATTATTCTACTGCTTTGGTTTACCTAGATTTTCATTATAGGCCAAATATAATGATCATTGAAATGTTTTTTTTTTCACCAAAGCCTCCCCACTCATTCGTCAATTTCCCCCATACACCCTAGTTTGTTTACACTTTTTACCCATGTTAGTAGTTCTATTCAAACTCTAATACAAATTACTGTAATAGTTGTATAAAACTCCTTTTGTTAAACAAAACATTTCTTATTCGGTTTAAATATGAACCTACTGTTTCAAAACGTCATGTTAGCCTGCTAACATCATGTTGTCTTCATCCAACTTAGAGTGAAAATGTTAATAAAAATGATCAATTTTAGATGAAATCTACTTAGCCTTTATTCATTTTAAAACCTTTTTTAAACAAATCTTAACAATATAGGCTATATAATTGTAGACAAGAATCATCCCCAAACACATCTTTATAAAAGTAAACATTGTTGTTGCAGATGAAATATAACTTAGAAAACAGGAAATTGTTAGTTACATTAGGTTATATAATAATTAACTATCATTAAAAATTTTTTTTACCAAAGCCTCCCCATTCATCCATTGGTTTCGTGCGTCTGCCATGTTTGCAGTTTGTTTACACCATTTACCCATGTTTGTAGTTCTAATCGACTTTACATTCTAATCAAATTAATGTAATAACTTTTTAGTTGAAGCAATTAAAACTAATTTTAAACAATATTCTGTTGAAATATGACCCTACTTTTTCAACAAGTCATGTTAGCCTACTTACAATCCAACGTAGAGTAAGAACATGAATAAAAATATAATTATCATATTTTAGATTAAAAATATTTAGCTTTTGTTTATTTCGAAACATTTTTTAACAATTCTGAACAATAGTAAACTGTACAACTGTAGACAAATTGATTAACCAATCTGTGAAATTAGTTATTTTTTCCAAATACTTTTTGACAAGTGCTGTTTTACATTTTTTTCCGAAACCTCTTTAACGCATGGGGGATAATAATATTGACCATAACTGTTTTTAATATACTTTTTTGCAGTATATTTTTCAGTCAAACTAAAAGAAGTAAGGCTTTCTCCAGGAAAAAGCAATATGCGAAAAGATTCTCTCTTAAAATCACATGGGAAATATTTGAAAACCAAAGAAAATTGCACAGGTGGTCTAATAATTTTGTCTTTGCTACATATTAAATGCACATCTTAGATATTACCTTTTGCATTTAAAATCTATTTACAATTTTATATACAGCTGAATATATTTTCTGACACGTCATGATTTAGCCAAGTACGATGCAATCCTGGAATAACATGTTGATCCTGGAAACATCATTGTTTGTTCGAAAATGTAATCCATATCTAATCCCTACCCGTAAACCAAACCATAACTGGAAATTATTCCCAACATCAGAGGGGAATAATAGTTGGATAACAATCATGTAGAAGTGCACAAGTTTAACCGTAAGCCTAAACTTAACTATAAACATATCCCATAATTCTTAATTAGAATGTTGTTCCAGGATCAACTTGGATGTTAATCCAAGAACATGTCCTACTTGGTGAAATCAGGTTGGCTTATTTTCTGGCCTTCTCCCTCATCATTTACACTTGAAAATGAAGCATACTGTATCTGATAAACTCAGCAGCACATAGAGAAATGCTTCATAAATGTGAGCTCAAAAAAATCGATCAAGCACAACCAAATGTGAAATAAATATCTTTTATTATTCATTTTCATCATCATTAGCAACACTTTACAAAGTGCCAGCCGTCATAGGCGATCTCATGATATCATCCAGCAAACGGGCCGATCGGTGCTGCCATCAGCAGACCGCACAGCCCACGTGGGCCTTTATACGATGCCAATCATGCGTAGAATTTTGAGTTTTAAAAAAAGAGAGAAAATAAAAATATATATATCAAAAAAATATGCGTACCACTGATATACAGATTTGATATAAACAGGCTTATTGGTCACAAACCAAATCGAATTATAAACATGGCTTTTCTCATACAATAGACAAAGAGGACAAACAACAGATATAAGTTCTGTACCAGATACGTGTACTGTCTAAAATAAAAAAAACGTACAGAGTTCTTCTCTTGATTTTGTTTCTTTTTTTTCACTTTTCTGTCATCAGTTGTAAAAGGCGCAAGGCATTGAGTGCGCTGGCAATAATCTCACTGAACCGGCAGACAGAAAAGAAGTCTCTTGAAAACACAGACAAACACACTCGGACAAATACAACACACACTCACACCAACAAATACAAAGTGCATTCATGACCCTGGAGTGGCAGCAGTGGCGGATTCAGCTTCTTTGAGTTGATGGAGAACTTCCTTGTAATTACTGTCATAAATTAAACAGCTATGGACTCTTGTTAAACTGGATGAATATCTGGAAGTGATGAACAAATGTTATATATATATATATATATACAGGCAAGTAGTTCAATGATGCCACCTAGTGGTGAAAAAACATCTGACATTACATTCCAATAGGAAGATTCTCAATTTGCATGACAACATCCTTCAGCAAGGATACCAGTGTGTTGGGCGGAGTCGGTTGCTTTTGGCACCAGTCAGCATTTAGACACTTGTCTAGCCTGAATTTACAAAAGAATCAGACATCATGTGTTTTAAAGAGATAATTCATCCTAATGCTTATCTATTTTTTTTATTATTCCCAGGTTCTGCTGGTAGCATTTCCTGAATTTTTTTACTCAAAATTGCATTAAATTTACATTAAATAGTTAGTTTTTAACAGTTTTTTTTTTTTGCCTCAAATTGGAATTTCCCCAACCTATGCAGGGGATCATAGTGAGTGCTCCGACTTGGCCCCACCCTGATCCATAATGCTAAATGCTAATCTGAAAATCAACATAAATATTAGAAGATCAATATAAATATTTGAATATTAAAAAGGGGCTTAATTGTTTCATGTGGAAACTGTTAATACCGCAAAATCAGAATGAAAGGGATAGTTCATCCTAAAATGTAAAACTCCCCTTTACTCACTTTCACACTTGGTCAAAATCCTAATTGACTTACTTTTACTTTTTATATCTGCTGAACAGAAAAGAAGATATTTTAAAGAATGCTGTTTGGTTGATTTCCATAGTGTTTTACTTTTACTCAAAGAAATGTTTCACTACTTGTTCAAACTACTTACTTAAAATTAGCTGAATCTAACAAAAATATGGATCCTAATCCTTTGACTTCAACTTTTAGGGCAGCGCCAAAAGAAATATGTATATATGTATATATTTTGTATAAATTATTATTGTAGAAATGATGTAATGTAATGTATTTATAAAACGCATTTATCATCTATGACCATA